GGAGAGGCTTACCTGAGGTCATGACTTGGACCCACTGATGGTCATAACATCTACTTGCTGGCAAGTCCATATACACAGACCATATGAGAGTGGGAATTACTAAAGCCAGTTTGCTTTGGTTCAATTTTCATTTCCCAAGTGTCTGGTTTCAGAGGCTGTTTTGAAGTATTTTTCCTCTTGCTATGCAGCACTCTTTACTCAGTTGGTTTAAAATGCCAGTTTGTGGAATAGGATTGAAAATACATAAACATTTTGTCGTGATTTGTTTTGGGAATTTGAAGTAAATTGTATTTATTTATTTATTTTATTGGGTGATTCAAATGCAATCTTGAGTTGGGAACCTTTTTCTATTTGGAAAAATTTTCAAGACTGTTATACCAGATGATTCCAGCAGACGGTGCTGTGTACCATGTACAAAATGTAAAGCTTCCCTGCTCCACAATGACTTGGCACTTTTAAAATTACCATTTGTCTCAAGCTTGATAAAGGTAAAGTGCATTGAGCCGAAGTGCCAATTTTGAATCTGGAATTTACTTCTAATATACCACTGACACAAATATATTTAGAAGTGGGTGCATTCTTCTATCTAGTGTGGGCTACATTCGTACCTCATTTTTATTTTTATCAGCCACTTGCATCCATGGCCTAACTGCAGAGGACTGTGGGAGATAAACCATTTCTCAAGTGCTTTTATTTGTAAGTTGGGGACCGCTGAGGAGGAAGGACTTTTCTAGCGCATGTTCCCAGGTTTGGCACGACTACAAATAGCTCTTAGGACCTGACTTTGGAGTTTAATCAAGGTTTCCGTTAAACTGACAGCGAGGATTCAGTTTGGTGCACAGCTTGGTGATGGGGTGTGTGCGTGTGAATTTTGTTCACCCATTCGCAGCATCTTTCCCTCTGCAGAGACAGAGATAAGATCTCCGTCTGCTGCCAGAGATAAAAACTGCTTCTGCCACCTGAAACCCGAGTTGGGAAGGGCAGGCTCTCCACACCCAGGCATGCACCCTGTCATCCTAACAGCTGGGCCAGCATGCCTGCTTAATTGACATAAGTACTGGTGCTCTAGCTTGCTTAATAATGGCAACAGGGGCTGGAGACAGTGCCTCATGATCAGTGCAAGCATGATCACCTGAGTTTGGATCCTCAATACCCACTTACAAAGCCTGGCATAGCCAGGCATGCCTACAGAATCCCAGTAGATGGGGGATTGAAGTCAGGAGGAGGTGGGGGATGGGGTGGAGACAGGAGGAGAGCTGGGGCTTGCTGGTCACTCAGCCTAGATAAAAAAGGAAAAGCTCCTTGTCCAGTGAGAGACCCTGTCTCAAGGCATAAGGTGTAGAGTGACAAAGTTGCATACCCATAGGCCTCGTCTGGGACAGACACACACACACACACACACACACACACACACACACACACACGCACGCACGCACGCACGCACGCACACACACACACACACATGCACGCACGCAAGGGTTTATTCTGGTTTACAGTTTAAGAGTAGAGTTTATCACAAGGGTAGATTTAATTCATCATTAACCGGAGCTTAAAGCAACCTTATCCAGCCAGGAAGCTGGAACGGTTATTTGTGCTCAGCTAGCTTCTCTTTTGACACAGTCCAAGACCCAGACCAGGGAAAGGTGCCACTCACTTTGAGGGCACCTAATGGGGGGTGAGGAAGAGGGGTGTTTCTCTCACAGGCAAGCCTGAAGCTTAAAAATAATAGCTCCCAGGTGTGCCTGAGTGCTTGCCTCCTGGATGACTCCCAGTCCTCTCAGGACAAGAATTCATCGCAACCGTTGAGCCTGCTTCATTTGCAAACACATAGAGGTGAACGTGTGCGGTGCAGTACAGAAAGGCAATGCTGGGCATGGTCACATGGGTAAGTGGTCCTGTGCAGCAGGCATTTCTGTAAGAACTCTGCACGTATCAGCTCACCCACTGCCTGCGAGTGGTGAGGCCAGGATAGGAATTCTGGCTTCAATGACTTCCATGGACCATGATGCCAACGTCAACATCACACTGGGAAAATTATCCCCCTACTTGGGCCTGTGGTTCCTGGAAGTTGTTGTAGCAATCAATTAACTTTTGTATGCATGGAAAAATTGCATATGTTAAAATAAAGCCTATCTGACCTTTACAACTCTCTTATTTTTCTTTTGGCATGTGTGTGTGTCTTTGTGCATGCGGAGGCCTGAGGTTGAACTCTGGAGTCTTCCTTGAAGGAAGCATTTATTGAAGGAGGGTTTCTTGCTAAATCCAGAGCTAGGCAATTCTGGATAGTCTGGCTAGCCATTTTGCCTCTGGGACTCCCTATCTTTGCCTCTTGAGTGCCGGGATAGCAGGCAGCTGCCAGGGCTGGGCAACTTTTAGAGGGCTCTAGGGATTCGAACACTGGCCCTTTTACTTCCATGGCAAGCACTTCACCTGCTGAGCATCCCCCGTACCTACAACTGCCTTGCTTAGTAAAAACCGGAGACTGGAATGTTGTCTGAGATGGTATTAAACACATGGGTATTAATATTTTAGACAATCGCTTGGAGGAAGACTGATTATTTGAATATAGACTAATACAATACACAGAGAGCACGTATGGAGGAGGGAGTAGTAAAAGGAGTCTAATAAGCATGACACCTATTATGGCTAGACAGCCGGGCATTGGTGGCGCACACCTTTAATCCCAGCATTCGGGAGGCAGAGGCAGGTGGATCTCTGTGAGTTCAAGGCCAGCCTGGTCTACAGAACGAGTTCCAAGACAGCTTCCAAAACAATACAGAGAAACCCTGTCCTGGAAAAAAAAAGGCTAGACAAACTGTCGGGTTGTGTACAGTAACAGTGGGTTGATTTAGTTCTTTAATAAAATCTTAAGTGATTGCTCTATTTCATGCGTTGTTTTTATCTCACTAACAGCTGTCCAACAAGAAGCAAGGACACACACACACACATACACACATACACACGCACACACACACACACACAGATTGAAGTTATACTTTTGCCACATGAGAGTGGGATTCTCAGGGTATTCCTCTTTCACCGAGGGATCACCTGACTCACGCCAGGGCCCTATTTGCCTAGCATTATTTGCACACATCTTGGATCATCTACACCCATTGAATGTATCACTGACTTACAAGGACTGTTCTGGACTTAATCTTGACCAAATCTCATCTGGACCAAATCTAGACGTTTCTAGAATTTTCCACTTATCTTCTTTCTCCTGGGACATGCATTTGGAAACAAGTGGGTATAATCGTAACTCTTTTAATGGGTATAACTGAATTTAAGCCATATCCCCTCTGCTCAGAAAGGCAAGCTGGGTAAGTCACTTGGGTTTGGCGGATGTCTGCTTTGTGGTCTGTTAAGTAAGAATAAAACTGGGCTGGAGAGATGGCCCAGCAGTTAAGGGCACTTGTTGCTGTTGTGAAAATCCCAGGTTTGATTCCTAGGACCCACAGGGAAGCTCCCCACCTCCTGAGGCACCAACACATGTACACAGATGCACATGCAGGCAGGACACTCATACACATAAAATAACAACAACGACAATAATAAAGAATAAAGTTGCTGAGTTTGTGAGCTATACTTTCTTTTTGGAAGCTCCACAAGAAAAGGCATTTAAGTATAGATGCAACAGTTTCTTTCTACCTTGGTATATAGATAGCTATCTTGAAATTGCACAGTTGATAGTGACACTATCTATAGCAGACACTATAGCAAATTTTTGATATGGCTCTTTTTTTTCTATAGATGAAAACAATGGTGACAACAACTGATATTTATTAAAAGCTTAAGGATTATATTTCCTAAGGGCTGCACATAATTATTTATTCATCTTAATGGTAACCCTATAAAAATACAGAGAACAGCTTCCATTTTTAGGCTCACAGGGATGCAGGGACTTGCTCGATCATTCTTTAAATACCCCAAATCTGTCCACGGTCTGAGCCCACAAGACGCCCCAGTAGGTGAATCCCAAGCACAGTGAATAAAATGATAAAAGAGCTGATTTTGATTCTATGGAACAGATCTCTGCCGTTACATAAAGCAACTGTGGCATCTACACAGATTAGGAAGTAAAGTCGCTGCTACAGTTAGCTAGGATTCCTTTCCACACCACCATTTAATAAGCCAGGTCTCTAACTTTCCTCAAGGAAAACTGCATCAAATGTGTGCTCTTAAAGCCAGTTGGTACCCAACGCTTACTAGGAAAAACTGATACAGTTCTAAGCATCACAAAACCTTCAGAAGGCACGTGAGCCAGGCATGGGTGGCACACAATTGTAATCTTAGCACTGAGAAGGCAAAGGCAGGAGGATCAAGTGTTTAAGGTCATCTGCTGCCACCTGGGCTACATGAAATCCTATCTTAATGTCTCCAGACACTTCCCAAAAGAAGGAATATGTGTGAAAGAGACCTGTGGCCACATACTAGCCTCACTAACTCAAAGAATAAGACATCAAAACTCCAGTAAGTTTTGACACTCATTAAAAAAAAAACCAACTAACCAACCAACCAACCAAACCAAAAAACAAACAAACAAACAAAAAAACAAACAAAAAACATTATGGCTCAGGCGACAGTAAAAAAAAAAAATCACAAAAGATGTTGAAATAAGAGAAAATGGAACAAAAATTTCAAAAAAAATATTGTAAATGCTCATGCTATAGGCAAATAATTTATACTCTATTGGATTTGGTTTTTTCCCCCTTCATGTTACTCTTTTAACTAAAAATGCCTTCTTAGGTGTTGGAAAGACTGATAAACTTGGTCAAAAGAACTAAGGAGCAATGGGTGTATCTGTCCATATGAACCGTGGAGGTGCTAGGGAGAGCAGCAGGGTCAGCATAAAGTCATGCCTTAGGCATGGGAAAGAGCAGTAGGTGCTGAAGACCCTGCATCCTGCGTCATTTGACATTCAAGTAGCCCTTCAATCACTCGACACAGTCCCTTGCTTTCTGCCCACCCACACTCACGGAATCCAGGGACACTGTTACCTTCATCCATGCCGTTGAGCAGTTCAGCGAGGTCTTCGTTTTTGCTGTCAAATTGATGTTCCTTCCAGGTCTCGCCATTTTCACTCCGAAGAACAATAAGTTCCCGCTCCTTCCCTCTCATGGACCCAAAATGAGGGATTTCCACTATGACGGGGCTAGAAAACAAAATGCCACATGGTTTTTGTATCAAATTCAATAGTAGAATTCTTATATATATATAAAAAAAAGTATTATTAACAGTACTGAGTTGGGAATCGGAAGTGCCATTTGGGTTGGGAATGGTCTCAAAGCTGCAGAATCGTTGCTAATTAAATAATATTCCAAGCCCAATAACATGCCATCATTCATTCACAAACAGGTCTTGAAGGCCTACTGTGCGTTAGGTGTCAAATTGAATGGGGGAGGGGGTTAAACACATGTAAATAGGCAATTTGAGTGAAGGAGTTAACATGACTAAGGTAGGCCATAAAGAGAGAAAGCTGGTTCATTTTTTAAAAAATAAAAAAAAAAAAACATAATAGGTACATTATGTAATACGAGGTGCTAATGAGCTAAAAGGACACAGTCATTTCTTTAAAAAAGAAATTCGCTCTAATTATGAAGATCATCTCTTTGTTTTTCTTTTTTCTCTCAGCAATAAAGCAGACATTGTCATAATCTAGTCCCTCCAACAGTTTGCCAGGTTTTGTGGTTAAAAAGGTTTCTCTAGTTTTTCTGTCTGTGAATAGGTGTTGGGTAGCCTCATTGCCTGACCTAACTACCACCTATCAGGAGGGTAGGGGGAATACTGGAACATTCCGGAAGAGCACACGTCAGCATGAAGTTGTCATAGGAAGGCGTTAGCTTTGACAGTGTCCTTTCTCAAACGAATGAAGGGGAATGACTGCAAATTGAAGATCGCCAATCAATTCACGGGAAATCATTTCATTACGTTCGACAGGATTATGGATAAAAAGATGGATGGATGTAAGCAGACCACAATCACACACAGTTCATGTAATTGGATTGTGCAGCTTTCTTGGGTGATGCTTGATAGACAGTATCATTGTTCTCTTAGAGAGGTTGGGTGCAACCTGTCTTAACCCGGCTGTTTATATACACGTGGTAGCAACACATATAGGCGTCAGTAGGAAGAACACAAGGAGAGGTTGTCATACAGATCAAAACCACAAATAAAACATGAATATCTGATTACTTATGAAAGTATTCATTTAAAATGAGAATGATGAATATCATGATTTTACTTTCGGCCAGAATCATTACAAATTTTTTTTATAATGCCTTTATTTTTTTCAGAGTTTCTTAAATGCCTTTATTCTTTAACACGTAAAAACAAGAGCGATTATTTCTAGCAGTGTTAATAGTGTTATTGGGAAATTTCCCGTAATTTTAAACTATACTTTAGATATTAGGTATCATTTTATTTTTTGAGAACAAGATACAATCTTTGCAGGTGAATGTGTCCGATACTGTCTCTGTGGCTTTGTGTAGGATGCTCGACAATGCTGGAGAGAAGGTATAAGCAGGGTCTTTGACCAAGGGGACAGCCAAGCAGGACAATTCAGAACAGGCTTTTCATGCAGACTGCCAAGGCAAACACAGTCAGACAAGCAAACAAACAAAGACACATTTCAGCTTGGACAAGACGAAAGGCATTCGACAACTCAACAGAACATCCCAGCTGCCCCCAGCCACATTTCTTTAAATATTCTGTGCTCTTGACACATTCAAAATCATTTTACTCACTGGTTGATTTCTTTTGATTCTCAACGCCCATGAAGATTACACTGTACTGTAAGTGCTTTCTAAGTCTAATCACGTACACAGACCCATACATACAGAAACGCACAGACACATACATACATACATACAAGAAACGCACACACGCACGGCATTTGTGGCAAACGTTGATTCAAAGCCTGCAAATACCTTCTCTTACACTGGTTAAAATGAGGCGGTCGGGCTAGCTTTGTTAGGTACACAGAGAAGAAACATTTCAAATTAAAGGAGGGTCGACAGATGCACACAGTCAGCGGAGTGCTTGCGGTGAGTCCCACATGCTTCGAAAGCACAAGGTAGCGGCAATGCCACATTAAGTCAAGCCACTATGGGTGTGTTCTCTCAGTGACACACATGGACCGAAAGCATGAAAAAGAAAACCAAAACCAAAACCAAAAATAGGAGAACAAACTGAAGACAAGAATAAGACCATGGGTGTGACAGAAAAAAAAACTGAAAATGGAAAGGAAAAATTGTAGACAATCTGGTCTTGTCTATGAAGATCCTACCCAATAAATTTTGTTCCTTGAGGCCCAAGCTGCAGGATTCGGCTAACCAAGCTCTCGCCCTCATTTACAGGGGGAGGATGGGTGGGAAGGTGCAGTTTACTGAGTAACACATCCATGCAGCAGGAAGAGAAACAAGAAGGGGAGATTGTGAACACACTGTCCGTCATGACAGAGCCTGCCTGCCTTGCCAAGGGCCACCTCAGACAATGAAGCAAAATTTAGTTTTCCTTCTTGTAAAATACCCTACCCCGGTGGGCTATGTCTCTCAGAGTTACTTTGAAAGAGACGTGTCCGCAAGGTAGCCATTTACACAGCGTGGAGCCGTCATCCCACCTGTAATATTTTCTAAGGGTGGTGCCTTGACTTCCATGGGGTAGCCGCAGGGATCCACGCACCCGTGGGGCACAAAGCATGCTTCTCGGTTCGTAAGCGCCTTAGCCAGTGACTTGAGTTAAGGAACCCACGGCCTACTGCGCAGCTTGGTGACCTTTGACACCACACTCAAGTCCCCCGTGAGGTTCATCAAGCCATTTTCGGAGTTAATGTCTTGAGTTAGCAAGGACTAAAGGGGAATCAAAGATGTGGTGAGAGGGGCCAAAGCAAAAACTGGGGAAACTTACCCTAAAAATTGTGCCCCCGCAGGACCCATTTCTATCAGCCTACTGGCTAATCCCTCTCCTTCCACCATGGGGGGTGGGTTGGCCAGTTTATGTCTCTTTACCAGGCGGCAGGTGATGCGGGTGGGGGCCGTACACTTGCGTGGAGGGATGATGATCCGCATCCCATGATGGCGGCTTCCTCGCATGGAGCCCCCTCTCGCGTCCACCATAAAGCTAACGAGAAACCTGTACAGGAGGAAGATCAGACACCATCACAGACAGAAGGAAATTTTGGCAAAGAGTTTTGAAATTCAGTGTCAATGTACGGGAAAAGGCAGCTGGCCCGCCTTCTATAACACAACACTTGGAAGCCACTACTGTGGAGTCACATCAGACGTGCACGGAACTCACACCCAGGGAAAAGACTGGAAGACAGTGGGGGTTTCGGTGGAAGGAAGTTCTCCCTCCCAGGAGGCAAGGAAGTCACCATAGGTACAGAGATAGGAACAGTGATAGTATTCAAGTTGGAACTAAAATGATCTATGAACGGGATGCAGATTTAAAAAAAAAAGTTCCCACCATTTTCTGTAGCCTTTGAGGATGGCGTAGGGAACAAGTCAAGGGTCATTTTCACTCTACCTAGTTTCTCCCCTAACCTGTTTAGGAGAGCTCATTCCAGTACACATAGAATGAAACTTCACAGCTTGTGAGACACACAGCTTGTGAGACAAAAGGGACAATTCACTCATACCAACACTCTTAATTTTTTTTACTAAGATGAAATATAAAAATAAAAGCAGGTGACTAGATTTGCTAAGGTTTTAATGGAAAGGTATTAAATCTTTCCAGTAATCATTTGAAAAATAGAGGTTAAAACATGTATTTGAACATTCCATGTGGTAATAGAAGTAGAACTTAAACATTATTTCTGAAAGTGTCTGTCATCAGCCTCTCTGGCAAAGCAAATAAGGAAAATGTATTTCCTGTATGCAGCTGTATCAGTGGAAAGCCTTCTCTGTTGGCGATGGGCACGTTGGTAAACACAAATCCAACAGACAGATGGCGACACAAACATCCTTATACGCTGAATTTTAGGGCTGAAAATACACACATGATTCAAGTAGCACCAGAGTGTCTTCAGCAAGTGCGATGGCTCTCTATTATATTCTTTTAAGAAAAGAATCCTATCCATCAAAATTCTTTTCTATATAATCATCCAAGCATGGCCAACGGGTCTGAAGCCCCTACATAGCTGAGGAAGACTTCCTCAACAAACTGGCCAGCCATCCCCAGCAGAGAGAGGCAACGGGGTGCAGAGAGCCCTTAGGCTGAGTGCGCTTCTGTTATCAACTGCTCACTACTGAGCTGGGCTCACCTCTTGCTCAGGTTTTGGATTTAGCTATTTTTTTCTCTCTGTTGTTTGACGCTCTTGAGATTACTCTAGCTATCTTGAGAGACTTTTGCCTCTAGGATATTCAAGTCAGGAGAGGGAAAGGCTGTCCCCAAAATAAGGAGACAGTAAAAACAGTCTCCCCTGTCTACTCAACAAAAATGGCTATCTGCTTCCATTCACCAGTCTGGCTTCCACATGCATTATTTCCAATGCAAAATGGTCTCTGGCTCACTCTGGTTCTGAAGTGCTTAATTTTCTTAGATATACGTGTGCTACATACTGCATGTGCATGTGCACAAGAGCATCAGCTGATTTCATTCAATAACAAAGGCACTGCAACAAGATAAGGGGACAAAAGTCTGGGTTTTCTCTGCAATTAATGGTGAAGATTAATTACCACTGGGTGTGTGAAGAAGGACTCAGCCCAAACTCTGGCCTTGAAATCGCGGTTGTGCTAGTACAAATGCACACTGCATTGTTTGCCTGGATTAAGGGTGTTGCACTGACAACAGCGGAGCCTCAACATTACAGACAGCACTTCAGACTGGGTTGGCATATTCACCACGTGACCTGAAGGGCCCAGCAGAGTCCCAGCACACAATGTCAATGGAATCAATCTATGGTCAAAGATTTCCTTTGTGTGCTTAGAAACGGCATAGGTGAGACTTGGCTACTAATGAGTGGATGGGCAAACAAGAGATGCAGGCTGATGTTAGCTGAGTGGCCTGAAGGTAGCATAGGGAGGTTTGGGGGGGCGCTGCCAATATAAGACCGTGGCAGCTACAAAGACTATCAGAATAAATGGAGCGGAAAAACTAAGAGGATTTGAATGACAAACTGGAAGAGCCTCCCACTGGACACTCCACAGAGCATGTGGTGCAGCCATTTAGCCTTCTAAGATCTTTACACAGAGCTAACAGATGGAGGAAAGGTGGGAGTGGGTTAGGCAGGACACGAGTCTGCGATGACACCGTGGGACACAGTGATTTTGTTTCCCAAACTCATTCTGTGTAAGATCTGAGCAAAACCCAAACAACATGCAACACGGGTTGTGGAAACAAAGAGAAACACGCAACGGTGATGCTCCTAAGTCTCTGTATCGTGCTACCGTTCAGATTACGTCACGGGTGCCATGAATGACCCTACAAGTGCTACTCAGAGGCGTCTAGTTTCGCAAACGGCAGGGTGACGAGTGCGGACATTCTACAGACACTGACGCCATTTAACTGAGGGATGTCACATAAATGAAAAAGACACAAAGGACACAGTTATCACCTTGAGTCATACTGAGGCAGCGGAGACGAATAGCTGCAAAATAATTTAGAAAGCAAATGGAGAAATTAATGTACGGTCATTAGAAGCAAGCAACAGACAACGTCAATGGCAAGCAAAAGGAAAAACTCAGAAAATGAAACCATGGCACGTAGCATTTGTGGGACAGCCTGTAATAAATGTCTGCCTTAGCTGCTATAGAACAGGGTCCTCAGACCTGGCATCAGTGCTTTGAATTCCAAGTGGGGCTTCTCTGGCTGTCATTACATTTGCTGTGTACACATCTATCTTCAAGAGAAGTTAAAGAAATATATCCTGATGCATTTATTATTTTAATGTGTGGACATGATGTGTATGTACATAGCATATATGTGTGGTTCCTCTGTGTGTGTGTGTGTGTGCACGTGCGCGTGCCTGCACCACAGTGTACATGTAGAAGTCACAGGACAGTTTCCACTTGTTGAAGCAGGGTCTGGTGTTGTTCACTGCTACAAATGCCAGGCCAGTGGGCCAGCCGGCCTACAGTGACTCTGTCTCTGTCTCCCACCTCTCTTTAGGAATGCTGGAAGCAGAGTTGCTGCCGCTACGCTGGCCTTTATGTGGATTGGGTAGATTGTTTGCCCAAGTGGTTTATCCACTAAGACATCTCACTTGCCTATGGTGGTTATTATTGTAGCAATCATTTTCCTCCCTTTTATATGGTTACCAATTATCTCACAGGTGAATTACCCACTAACGAATCCAGCACACAAAAGTGCACTGGTTATCAACGCACTTGTCACAGCAGGTCACCATTCAGTCTTCTGCCGTGAGACAGACGAGGGACTCTTTAATAAGGTTCTTATCAGCACTTCTGGGGCACATACAATGGTGTGTGACATTTTAAAAGTAGATTTCTTTATTTTCTCTTGAGATTCATTTTTTTTCTGACTGTAACGTAATTATAATTTTATTTCAGGAATGCAGAAGATGCCAGAGTCAAGTGGGACCTTCCAGGGTTAGGGTTTCTTTTTACAAATGGCAGTTGCAGAGAATAAAATCATTGATTGAAAAATGGGTTCATATCAAATGAGAGGAAACTAAAAACAGCAGAGCACACTGCTCATGGGGACACTGGATCAGTTTGTGAAGTCAATCTATAATACATTTGATGTTTGTATGCATGTATGTGCACATTTGTGTGTGTGTGTGTGTGTGTGTAAATGAATGAGGTCATAGGTGGTAGAGCATGCTCCTGTGTGTATGTGCATGCATTTGAGCATGCTCCTGTGTGCATGTACATGGTCGGGCATGCTCCTGTGTGTATGTGCATGTATTTGAGCATGTTCCTGTGTGCATGTACATGGTCGGGCATGCTCTTGTGTATATGCACGTGGTTAATAGTATTCCTGTGTACATGTGCATGTGGGAAGTAGGGATCAACTTTGGGTACTGTTCCTCAGGCCGTGTTTACCTTGCTTTTTGAGACAGAAACCCTCGTTGACTTGGAATTCAGCCATTAGACTAAGGGAGCTGGCCCGCAGACCCCAGTGATCTGCCTGTCTGCACTCCTCTCTCCCCCTGGCATGACAGGGACGAGCCACTTGCACACATACTTGTGTGGCAAGCACTTTACTGACTGAACTACTTCCCCAGCTCTACATTTAGTGTTTTTACAGAAGAAAAATCAGATGCATATTTTAAAAAAGCCTCATTTGAGGAAATAATTAAGAAAAACAACTTGGTTTTATATCTTTTTCAGTGAAAAGGAATTTTAAAGATTTCTAGAAGCTCATAACAATCAGGAAATTTTGCTATGTCAATAATCAATTCTTTTCTAATACTCCACTTTTAGGGATAAATGAAGACGGACTTGTCCCCCAAAATACTTATTAAATGATTACAAATGCAAACCACACACTCTCACAAATGAGCATATATTTCACAGGTGAAAATGTTCCGAGATATGGATGTTTTCAATATGCATGGATAACTAAATAATAAATGCAATGTGAGTGTAATGGATTAAGGAGAGATGGCATGCGGGCACTTACCCAGAATGCACAGGGCTTGAGACCAGGTTCACATTGTCCAAGGTGTCTGCTGCCCAGCTGTAGTGTCTGAGAGAATCTGAATCAAACTCCCTTGTGAATGTTAGGTGCTGAAAAATAAAACAGCACGTGCTATCAACCACGAGACACCAGTTCTCCCTATACCGCACAAAATATATCTGAATATCTTTATAAGCCTGGATAAGCTAACACTCAATATAAAGAATTTGCAAATCTTGCTCATGAGGTCTACATTAGGTTCTGTATAGAAAAGAACATTTAAAAAATAAAGTATACTGACACAAATATTTCATATGGAAATCCTGAGAACGAACCCTGGCATTATCTGCATGGTAAAGGAAACACGGAGAACATTAATTGGTTCAAATGAATCCTGCAACTTTAAATTCCCTCCCTCCCCATTCTCAACATGCAGATTCAGGCCTGATGACTGTGACACCCATGGGTCACCGTGGCTGGCAGCAGTCCAGTCTCCCACCAAGAAAGCCTGAGGAGGACACAGAAACTCTGCAGTAGCGGACGCTGAGAGTGAAATGCCTGAGAGGGAAAGGTCTGGAAGCCAGGGGTTCACTTCCGCCATTTCTAACTTGGGAACGTTTGCCCAGTGTAAGTGCGGGCAGAACGGGTGTTTGTGTCTACACAGATGGCCGCTGAAGAAGAGGAAGCCCAAGAAGGTTCTGAGGGACAGTTGGGTGGCCTCAGGCATGCTGTAGACTTCTAAGGACACGAGCCACACTGTAGGGCTAAAGCAGAAGGGAAGCCAAAAACCTGTCAAGAAAAATCCCTCCGAGCGTAGGCGAGCTTGTGGGCGCTTCCACGAGAAAGAGGATGCAGGTGCAGAGCTCATAGCGGAAAAGGCTCCCAGAGCTCACGCCAGGATTGCGAACAAAGATTCAGGAGGCTCCAAAGTACTTGGCCCGCATTGCAACGGAAACTTCATTGAACCGAAGTGGCCACCAAGGGCGGAAGGGTTACCTCAGCAGTGAAAGTACTTCTGCGAAAGCCTGCTGACCTGGGTTCAACCCCTGGAGCCCACATTAAAAAGCCAGATGTAATAAATGCATCTATAATGCCAGCAATCCTACAGAGAGGTGGGGAGTGGAGACAGGAGACTTGGGTACACACCCTCCACCCCCTCCCCTTCCCCTCTCTCTCTGTATTAAAATTAAAAGATCAGCAAACACTTCTAGAAAGCAAAAAGAGTGAAGCAGAAGATAACAAGGGAACAACTCGAGGCCCTTTCCCACATCCGAAGCCTGTGTCCTGAGAGGATCCACCGCGTCAAGGAGTGTGGGAGAGGAGGACACCATTGTGCCCAAGAGGGTGCATCGGCAACAAGTTTCAGAACCTAGAGACAGAGAGGGCTACAGACGGCAACCCTCCACCACACTGCAAAAAGCAGAAACATGACAAAGATGATGGAGTAATCAATCCCTCAAGTGTTCTAAGAGGAAATGCTTTATCAGCTCACCGCTCCCTCATTAGGCAAACCAAGTTCATAGCAGGTATTTCCGGATACTTCAAACCTCAAAAAACGGATTAATCATGTAGTCTCCAAGGGTAATACTTCAAAACGTACTCCAACCAAATGAAGAACTAATTCAAAAAGGAAAAAGGCAGGCATAGAATGGAATAGGAGATAAAACAAAGGGTATGTCAAAACGATGCCAGGCCCAAGAGTGGATCTGTGCAGAAACTACTGATAATGGCCGGTATTGATGACTGCTACACATCAGCAGGGGCTGCACTGTCGCCCTGAGTAACTTTGCCAAGGCCACCTTCGATGCCATCTCTAAGACCTACAGCTACCTGACCCCCGGCCTCTGGAAAGAGACTGTGTTCACCAAGTCTCCTTATCAGGAATTCACGGACCATCTTGTGAAAGCCCATACCAGAGTCTCTGTTCAGAGGACCCAGGCTCCAGCTGTGGCCACCACATAAGGGTTTTCATACAAGAAAAATAAAGTGAATTAAGTCTGTTTAAAAAAAAAAGAATTTAATGCTGGGGCTGGAGTGATGGCTCAGTGGTTAAGGGCACTAGCTATTCTTGCAGATGACCCATGTTTGGTCCTAACACCCACACAGAACTTACAACTCCGGTTCCAGAGGATCCAATACCCTCTTCTGGCCTCCACAGACTCTGTATACCCTTGGTAGAGATATATACACTCAGGGACATATACAGAAACCTTACAAATAAACAAACAAAAAGAATCTAACACAATTGGGCAGAACTGAGATCTTCACCTCGGACAGCAATAATTCACTTGAGAGACTCACTTCCAGCCTAGCCATATCTGCTAACTACTTAGACAAACTGTTACAGATGCCAGCAGCCAACCGTCAGGGTAGAGTCAAGGACTGAATGCAGAGCCACTTCAATATTTTTGGTGTGGGAGGGGCTGTGGGGACAAACTACAGCCTTTGAATGTGTGAGGCCCTGGGATTATTTTCTGCTTGGACCCTTTTTGTTTTTTAAGTCTGATAAATTAATAATCTTCTGCCTCTTTGTTAATTACAGTAAATTATTTACCTTCAGCACTCAGAGAAACATACTGGTGGCATTAATTATTGAAACCATAAATTATACCACACAGAAAGGTTATCCTGCCATCATGTAATATTTACATGGGAGGTGACAGCTTGCCAGGGTCCCACCCCCACGCAGATATGCTTTCTCTCCTCACCTCTTGTAGCCCGTTGCCACACATCAGAGCCTAGTCACGACACAGCTGAGCAGATGGTAGACCTGACCACATCTAGAATGTTCCCATGTGACTCCAAAAGGTTGCAGCATTTCAATCCAATACTAGGTAATTTCTCCTCGGAGTTCATGTTTGAGGTTTACGAGTGGCCCTAATTGAGTCTGAATAACTGAAATATGAGCTACCAGAATGTTCTTCCTACAGGGAAGATTTCTAAAACAAAATAATGGCAACTCAACCAAGCCTACAGTTTTAAGGGCAGATCATGACTTGCTAAGTTCCTTTCCAACTGTCTCTCGATACTTTGCATGGCCTTCAGTTTAGATAAAGCTGACCGATGACACACCAGCATCTGCTTGACTTTAGAAGACAATATTAATTTTGAAATGTGCTGACTGTCACTGCGCAGGCCACCATAGCTCCAAAGCATAGCCTTTAGCTCTCTGTACCAATAACCATTTAAAAGGGTTAGCAGGGCACGCTGTTCGATGACCACTAAATATGAAGCAACAGCTATAGATGCGACTCAGGTAGCCAGGTACTTGCCTAGCATTCCTGAAGCCCTGGGTTTGACCGCTAGCACCACATACCTGGGCATAGTAGCATACACCTGTAATCCCAGCGTCTGCAATGTCAAGGCAGGGGGATTAGGAGTTCAAGGCCACCCTCAATTAGGTAGTGAGTTCCAGGCCAGCATGGGTGACGTGAGACCCAGTTCCTAGGTCTCATAGCGTGGAGGTGGGTGCCTAGTGAAGAGGTTCAGCTTTGGGGCTGAGACACATTAGCTGAATTTGGCAACTCCTTTTGTCACTTCCTATGGGTGACCCTTGCCACAGGCTACTGGTTAGAGGCCCGAAGGTGATTGTGGGCCTCTCCGTGCCCAATTTTCATGTCAGCTCTAGAGATGTGGGGTGATTATCTGAGTTGTTGATTCCAGGAAAGGGGTTAGAAGGGCTTGCTGAGTGAGGTCCAGCAGCCATGTGCCTGTGCCAAGGACTGTGCATAGAGACAGCAGCTTCTCTCTCTCTAGCATCTACTGAGTATACTGACCACCCCATAGACTCTTCTGGCCATGGTAAGGGGGTGCATGTATTTAGGGGACTAGTCTCCATACCCACTTGGCACAAACAAAGTCAACTTTTAATAACTGCCCCCTCCCATGGGCCCAGAAGAAGCTTTGCTCTACCGTTTCCCTGGTAACATCTGCCGGCCTGTGACTCTTGGCATGTTTCTCCATATGGGCGAGAAGCTATAATAAGGTATCTTTAAATGTAAAAAGACTTCCACACCCTTTCCAGAGGACTTTGGTTGATGCTAGGTTATTTGTTAAAATATGATGATTTATTAGAGGGAAAGAACAAACCCCAAAATGTTCCAGTTTCAGGCCAAATCCTGGGACTTTCCAGATATTTACACAGGATGCTTGTATCAATTGACAGCTCCCATTGTTATAATATGACTGGCAGCTCCCACTCTGTTATAACATGGCATCTTACAAAAACCTAGGTCTGATTTATTCACTCAAACAGCGCTTAATCCCTGAAATTTTATTTTGTTTTTGAGACAGGTTCCTACTCTGCAGCTCTGGCTACTTTGTCTCAAACTCACTGTTGAGTCCAGGTGCTGGGATAACCAGAGTAGGTTACCACCTTGGCTTTCAATTCTTTTTAACAGTGCTACAAAAATTCACAGTGCAGTAACTCAATAGTAAAGACTGCCTTGGCTTCTCCGAGTCCCCAGGACCCTTTAGATCTCCGGGTGACATTACACTCCTTTTTACATTTAAGGAAATGGAGGCTTCTGAACGACTTAAAAAAAATCTGGCAACACAAAGGCACCAGTCGACACACGGTGGCTTCAGCCGGACAGTATACTAAAAACAGTTCACAATGACTCCCTAAGGCCTTTTACTCCCGTGTCAAAGAGAAGACCAACACTCACATTATTTTCATCTTGGAAGTGACAGTGGGGGCACTATGACGATCAAACTACACATTATTCGATTGAGTCCAAAGCCTGACTAATGATGAGGTCACTGTCTCCAAGAGCTTCATATTTTCCAAAAATAGCATCTTAGTGGCACTACACATCAGAGGAGAGAGGAGAGTAAGAACACGCTGGCCTCATTAACCGGGACACACCCTGAAGTTCAGGTCCGCAAATAAATAGAACACATTGGTCTTACAACCGGGACACGCCCAGAAGCCCGGCTCTGGAAGTGAATACTAAATACAGAAGAAGGGATAGGGGAATGGAGAGAGGGAAAAAAGAAGAGATGGGTGAAGAGGTAGAGGAGACGGAGAGAGGGGGAGAACAAGAAAGGAGGGGAAAGTAGAGAACGGGAGAAAGATCTAGTTGGTTCTATTGGGTCACTCCCAACTTCT